TAGGATCGCATTAAATCATATACATAAAAGAATTAAATCGTATAAGGTAGTATTAAATCATATGAAAATCATATATAGTCATATAAAATCGTAATAAATCATATAAAATCAAACTAAATCATATAAAATCAAACTAAATCATATAAAGTCATATGAAATCATATAAAGCAGTATTAAATCATATAAAATCGTATTCAATCATATAGAACCGTATTAAAGCATACAAAATGATATTAAATTATATAAAATCATATAGAATCAAGAGAATGGTATTAAATCTAATAAAATGTCAAATCATAAAGAGAAATTGTATCAAATCAAATAAAATGGTATTAAATAATGTATAATAGCATTAAATCATAAAGAATAGCGTTAATTCATATAAGATCATATAAAAGCGAAAGAAAACATATAGACGCTGTGACGTGCGGATTAGCTGCCGCGTGCCAGCTCCCCGCTGCCGTCCCAAGGCGCGGTGTCGGTCCGCCCGGGAAAAGAGGATCCGCGCGAGGCCGTAGGGAAACCTCCCGGGGTCGCAACCACACCTTTTTTTGACTTGCCCGCTTACCCGAGAATTTTTTTATTTTTGTAACGCGCCCATCGAGCGTCACTGAGCCAACCGGACCAGCGAGGGGACCAACGGACGGCGTGGCCGAGAGACGGCGAGAGAGAGAGAGAACTGAGGGGCGAGAGCGCGAGGAGGCCAGCGGGCGGTGGCCGCGAGGAAGCCAAGGGGGCCAAAACGGCGAGAGGAGCGAGTCGAGGGGAGAGGGCGAGAGGCGCCGACGGGCGGTGAACGCCGAGGAGCCGAGCCGCCCTGGGATCTGGGGCCCGAGAACGCGGAGCCGCACCCGAGGGGCCAGGGACGAGGCGCCAACAGGGCTGCCGGCCAAGGGGCGAGCACGGGCGGAGGCGGTTCCCCGGGGGACCGGCGAGACCGGAGGGCCAACGCGCCGGAGAGCGGGCCCAGGATCGACCGCCCCGGCCCTGCAAGCCGCGCGGGGCGAATTTCGTGCCCGGAAGCGCGCGGACAGCGATAGCGCCCCTGCGGACCCGGCGACACGCCGGGTGAGCGGCCCCCTAATTGGCGGATCCGCGGCGCCACTATCCCGCGCAGCCCCTTTTCGCGATCGTAACGAGCGATCGGGTGATCGACCCGCTCGCGCAGGATCTTCCGCTTTCGTTCGCGGATCCTCATACTTGTCGGACCGACTCTCCTCGCGCGAACCGAGAAGGAGGCCCGTGTGCCAGCCACGTTCCGTGCCGAGGCCGTGACGAGGGACCGAGGAGCCAAGTGCCGACCGGGACCGTGACGTGGGATCCAGGGAGAGTACCGGTGAGGTGGCCCTCGAGGGAAAGTCTATTGTAAAAGCCGCGTGCTTCCGAGGGGGTTAGCTCGCGCTCTGGCATCGCGCCGCGTTCGTTTTAGTGTTTCGGGCTATCGGGCGCCCGCTCCAAGAGGGAGTCGGCGCCGGCCATTTCGTGTCGCGAGCGGATCGGCGGTGCCAAGCGCGGGGGCTCCCGGGGAACGGCCGTGGGCTTATCGGGCGACCGTAGCGGGCGGGTATCGGGTACTGCGACCTCGGAGGGGAGCGTAGAACGGGCGCCCCGTGCGCCGTTGTTCGAGCGGGCGCCTTTTGGCCTGCACCGGGGAATTCTTTCGCGGCGGACCGGCACGCCGGGTGTCGGCCGCGAATCCCGTGTCGCGGGCGTGAGCAGCCTCCCGCGGGGAGGCTCGAGAGACCGACGGATAGCGAATTCGCCTCAGCGGAGGCCCCTTGCCTATTCTTTTTGTATCCGAAACATTAAACCGCCTATGTTACTCTCAGAACCCGTGTCGAGATTCTTTTGGTGTGTTAGTCTAAGCGTGCGTGTGTCGCGTCCCGTCCCGACGTCCCGTTCCCGCCGGCCCGAAATTACGGGATCCTGCCACTCTGCCGACGGTAAAGAGCAGCCGGCCCTTGTCGCGTCGAGGAGGCGGATTCACGGCGCGCGTCATGCGGATCGACGCCGCTGTTCCCATACGTGGAGTCGTCTCGCGGTATAAATTCGACGCCGCCCGCGAGCGCATCTGGCGCGCAGCTTTGCCTTCGTTCTTGGGCCTTCGCTTTGTCCGTTCCGGCGAGCAGCCTGGGACGGCGACGGCCGCGTAGCGGCCGCCGAAGCCGCCTCTTTCTTCGTCGCGCGCGGCGAATATAAGAAAACGCGTGACAATATATATGATATTTTTAATTCTTTGATGTAAGTTTATTTAATTTTGCGCACCACTAACAGCGCTAGACTCGCACCCGCCGCTGCTCATTAATTTCTTGATCATTGTCACGAGTCTTTTTAATTTGAATATACGCAGGCTGAAACAATGCGTTACCATACTAATATCAATATTCTTTCCTTTTTCAACTTCGTCGCTCTCACATTTGGCCCGTACGCCACTATTTTACTGAAGGACTGGATCAGATTTAATAAGATCTACATTAGAAACACACTAAAAGAAAAATTTTTACGATTTTGTATAACTCATAACATTGTTCCGACACATCTTCACCGTATTTATAAATTCAAACTTGAACTTCATCATCCGAAATTTATAGCCAAGTTTAATCACAACATAAACAGTTTTGCCATAAAATTGCTAAGGTTAGAACTAAATGACACTTGTAGACAAATCAATCACTCCAGAACTGAGATCTTTCGTCTGGCACGCAACATCTCACATCACCTACCTCACGATATTTGCAATTCTTTCTTCTATAGACAAAATAGATCGTTACATTACTTTTCCATCTCAAAACGCGATATTCTCGATAAGAAAATTTCAAGGCTGCTACAAAAAAACACAAAGGAAAATATAAAACGGATTCAACCCGTGCACTATTACGGCACGAACCGTCCAAAGACACATAAAAACCCTCCGAACATTAACCTTGAAGATGAGAGCGATAAAAATAATGGTTTCATTTTTTTCTTCAATCCGTTCAAATCGACAGACACAACATCACACGAGACTTTCCTTAAGGGGGTAGTACACTCTGGAAATTTCGAAAAATCGATTTTTTTATTGCATATTTTGAAAGTGTTATTCTTTACGTGTATTTTAAACCCTTGCCGATTGCAAAATTCCAAAAAGTGACGAAGTTATAGCCATTGGAGCGAAGTAGTGTCGGCCGCCAAACCGGTCTGAGGCGCCGCCGCTCGATATTTACGAGAATTATACCTGCTGCAGACCCTTCTCTCGTTCGTATTGTATATTCTATGGTATATTTCTATGTGTATATTCTGTGTCCATTTCTTGTATATATTTTTTCAATGCCAGAAGGGAACTAGCATTTCACAGTCCGTTTGACAGTATACATCGCGTGAGTCTAACGAAAATAAAATACCGAAGAGAGCAAGTGCAAGTTGCAAAGGTTCCAGAAATACTGAGGGAAGAGCTTGTAGACTGAAAAAAAGGAAACGTCCTTTGAATGCATCTGAGAAGGAGCAAGAGACAGCCAGTACCAGTACATCAGCGAAAAAATTACAAGATCGGGTGAAGGATGTAGAAATTGACGCAAAATTCGGCTATAGAATTATAAACTTTGTAGCAGTCTTCTCTGCAATTAGTGACCATGTGAAGTGCTCAACTTGTGGAGGCAAAGTGGAATTTTTGGAGTCAAGTATTCGTGGACTCGGTTTTAAAATACTAATAACGTGTAATGCGTGTGAACCGCGAGGAGTATTATCCAGTCCGCTTATCGATGGTCATGCTTACGATATTAACAGGCGCATTACTTTTGCTATGAGATTACTTGGACAAGGATTAGCGGGAATAGAAAAGTTTTGTGGTATAATGGATTTGCCGAGACCAGTTTTTGGTAACTCATACGTATATGTGCAAAAAAATATTTCCTGTGCAGCGAAAGCTGTATGGGAAAATATACGAAAGAAGGCAGGAGAAGAAGAAAAATGCTAACATCGCAAGCGGAAAATTGTGAACAACCAAATGGTCTAATTGTGTCTGGAGACGGAACATGGAAAAAACGAGGCTTTTCATCATTGTATGGCGTCTGTACTGTAATCGGCCATTATTCCAAAAAAGCACTCGATGTTGAGATAAAATCATCTTACTGTAAGGCTTGCGTTTACTGGGAAAAACAAAAGGACACCGAAAGCTATGCACAGTGGAAGGAAACGCACGATGCTGAATGTTTTGCCAATCATACAGGATCTGCAGGGAAGATGGAAGTTGATGCTATCGTGGATATTTTTCGACGATCTTTCGTGGTTCATGGAATAAAATACTTGTTTTACGTTGGAGATGGAGATAGCAAAACTTTCGCTGGAGTCTTGAAATCGAAACCATATGGTGATAATGTACTTGTACAGAAAAAAGAATGTATTGGCCACGTCCAGAAACGTATGGGTACTCGACTTCGCAACGTTAAAAAAGCAAATAAAGGCCTTGGAGGGCGAGGAAAATTAACAGGAAAATTGATCGACGAATTGACAGTTTATTATGGTCTTGCAATTCGAAGACACTGCAATTCTCTTGAGGATATGAAAAAAGCGATCTGGGCAACGTTTTACCATAAAATTTCAACGGACGAGAATCCACAACACAATTATTGTCCTACAGGAGCCGATTCTTGGTGTACATTTCAAAAGGCATGCGCAGAAGGAAAATTAAACGAATATCACCACAAGCCAGCACTTCCTCAAGATGTTCGAGATGCAATTTTACCAGTGTATGAAGCACTCAGCACGGACGATTTACTAAATCGATGCCTGGGAGGCTACAATCAAAATTCTAATGAAAGTGTAAACTCCGTCATATGGAAAATCGCGCCAAAAATATCATCCGAGGATGCTGAGGTCGTCGAAATAGCAGCATATATTGCCTGCAGTACATTCAACGAGGGAGCAATGGCATATCTAAATGTTATGCAGATGTTGAATTTAAAAATTGGCGACAAAGCACATCAGTGGTGCATGTATGCTGATCAACATCGCGTCAATGCTGCCGATCTTCGAGCGCAGGAAAGCACGCGAGAGGCAAGATCTGCTCATAGACTTGAGAGATTGGCTGCAGAGGACGTTTTAGCCGATGCAGAAGGGCTGCAATATGGTGCAGGAACAGCAGAATAATGGTATGATGAAATAATTATCACTTTATCTCATAGAAAACAGTTGCCAAAACTTTAAACGCGCTTATCTCAAAACGCTTTTTTTTTTAAACGGTGTACGTGATTCCGAACGTACTTTTATTCCGGCTGTCTTGGCCTTTGGCTTACATCTATGTATATAACAGCACAATGCTCATGCTGACGTAGAGTTTTTTGTCCCCCGATGAACCATGTGTTAATAACAATAAAAAACCGTTGGTTTTTTTCGGTACAAAATGAACTTCTTTTTGTTAAGTGCTATAACTTTCACAATTTTTAACATTTTTACAATTTTCGAACGTCAACTTGTGGGGAATACATTTAAATTTAATCCCCTTTTTGCGTTTTTTATTTCAGGCACGCCGTACAGGAGCTACTACGTACACCGTAGTCGAGCGCGCGCGCGCGAGGGCTCTGCGAGATGACTCATAACTCCTACATTTCTTAAAATTTTTCCAAATAAAAAATACTGTAAATGCACCTAAACATGTACTTCAATATCGTATTATCGTAATATACACCATGAACCTGATTGGCCTACCACTTTGTCACAAATAAAAAATCCTGAAATTGACCCTCATTTTCGGCCGCCAGAGTGTACTACCCCCTTAACCCACAATCCTTTTCCGATCAGTTACCTCC